AGTAAATGTATTTCTTCGTAACAGAGAATGCGGTTGTGCTACAAAGAGTGTTGCAATGTATGGGTTTTAAGGTATACGAACTAAATTCAACTAATTTCTACCTTATAGGAAGTTTTAGATGTTATAAATAGTTTACACTGTACTTCTTATATCAGTTCGTTGTAAAGAATTAATTTTCATTTGAAAATGTTAACAACAATATTTGTAAATATAAGTTATCACGGAATTATTTTTTTTTTGAAAAATAAGTATGTAAGAGCAAATATGGTTCAATATGGCAAAAATGGGTCAATTTTAAATAAGAATATCTTAGTAACCGTCGGTTGTGCACAGCCCAAAAAATCGGCAAAATTTGCGATTTTTCATGAACTATACATAAAATGTATCAAAAGTCATAGAAGTCATGGACGAATACTGAAAAAAAAAAAACGTGACCCATCTTCTTATTTTAAGTATTTTTTGATACAAAAAATTGGAAAAGAATCTTTACAATAAGGTATTTCGATGGGAAATTTAATTTCCTAAAAAAATGTATTCCTATAAAAAATCCTCAATCCATAATTAGTTTAAGTTATCGCGAAAAAAACTAAAAAATTAACTTTTTAGAATAAATTTAAAAAAATGCACCCCAATATATAATAGCATGTGTGTTTTATCATTTTTAGGTGTCAAATTAACATACTCACATGGAGAGAAATATCTGGAAACTTTCCAGCGAGAAAAAATATTGACTTAAGTCGACACGAGAGCTTTCCAGCAGAGCGGGTTTTACGACACAAAATGACACATTTTGCTATAAAAATTTATGCAAAAATGGTTCACTGCTATGAAAATTTTGGGTGTCTCGATAATATAAATAAATACGTATGCTTTCTTGGAAAAGACATTTTTTTTGAAAGTGAGAAAATTCATTTTTCTTGTGACGAAAATGTCGATTGAATATCAACTACCTAGACTACTTCAATGGCTCGTTTTATAATACACAATGAATCCGTAAATAAAGTATATAAATTTACGAAATAATATGTTTAATATTGTTTTTACAAACTACTGTCATGTAACACGGTCATCAGTGTCCCATTTGGAATACGCAAAAGGTTATGTTAAATTAGTTAAATATTTGCATCAAAACATACATACGATAACTTATTAAAAAAAAAATAACTAGGCTAATCTTTACGCTACCTACTGAATATATACTTCCAACTATCGTATTCCAGCTTTTTGTATAACTTGTGTTTCCGTCACGGGAAAACTCCCATTATAAAGTAGGTGCAAGAGATATATATTGAGAAAATTTAATATTAATCCAATGATTTTTGTTAGCCCTATAAACTTTATTAATAAGTATAAGAATTTCTACTGTGTTAGCATGGTAATTTTCGATTGCAAGTCAGAGACACTCAGATTATCATAAAGCATAGTAACTTTTACAAGGTTTTTCCTCTCCGTATAAGAATAAAAACTGATTGGCACAACTCTTTCTTGCTACTATGTACTTGATTTTGGACATATTGAATACACAAACATTTCCCCAAGGGCGCTACTATTCAGTTTGTATCAAAACGGCGGAGTTATAATAATAGTGGATTAATATGCAACATTAATTTGAAATCATTTTTATTTTTTTCGATTTTTTATTTATCCACTACAACCTAAACAACAAGCAACAATTTTTCCCTCATTAATTTGAGGTAGTTTGACGTGGGTAAATAAAAAATCGAAAAAAAAAATGATTTCAAATTAAGAACGGATAAGTTCTTGGTCAATAATTGATCGAAACTAACTGACGACAATAGTGGCAAATTCTATCAAATCTCCGATCTGTATTTGTGTTCTTTAGGTACTTGAAAAATTTTGCAATACTATGCAAAGGGAAAGAGGGTTGTGAATTTTTTGGTGTGGAAATTTGCAAATCGCTTCGTTTAGAAAAAATATTGGTTGGAATTTACGTACACACTACGAGTCGTTCGCTGTTCTAATTTTAGAAGGGATCATAAACTTTGCGGTACGACTGAATGAATTTACGTTTATTTCCGTGTCAACAAATGAACCAAATTAGAAGAAACAAAGAAATCGAGGAAGTGGGATAGACTTCTATTTAGAACGATGTTATTTGCCAAGCAGTTTTTGATTTGCCTCCACATTGTAAATCCAGTTTGACAAGTGAATAAATTCACAAGACTCTCGTCAAACATATCAATCACTTCAGTTAGTAGTACTATATATCAGAATTAGGACAATGCCCGAAACAAATTAGCAGAACTACATAGTTATGAGCATCTAATATTTCCCAAACTCGAAATTTTACTTTTTTACGTCTATCAGTGGGCGTTACAAAAAAAAAAAACAGAAGCAGTTTTGCGGATTTTTAAATGTACTAAACCAGTGTTTCCCAACCTTTTTTCCCTCGCGAACCAAAAGAAAGGTCCGAAAAAAATTGACGAACCTCCTATGTAGTCGTTAATGACAGGTAAAAAAAGCAATAAAATTTGATAGAATATATATTAAAGAATAATTGATTATATTAATCGTGAAACATTTAAATATAACATTAATAAGACTAAAATGATGGCTATAAACTGTGAAAACAAGATAAATTTAGCAAACTGGTTCTTATGTTTTACATTTGGAAAAACACTTAATGGGATATTTGTGGCTATTTGATAGAACAAAGCAATTCAAAGTTAGGCTCAATATCTGACAATTTCAGTCTTAGATCAGGTTCTGCATTTAACGTTTCAGTACTATCATCTCGATTATCATGTCTCGTTTCTAAACGGCTCGTTATTAACCATCGATCCATAATAAAAATATGCTATAATAATAATTAAATTAATAATTATTAAATCATTTACACGAGAACTTGACAGTCACAGTATCACTATCACTCAAGCTTTAAAAGTGCTAAGTCTATGTATTGACGAAAATATTGAAATTTATTATCTGTAGATTTCTTAACAAACAGGCAGCGAACAATCTGTTTTACAGTGGGTGTGTTCTTTAATTTTTGTGTTTTTGTTTTGCTTTTGATTTTAATGGCGTTTTAAAAAATCCGCCATTACAATATTATTTTCACGAACCCCCTCTGCAAACACTGCGAACCCCCAGGGGTTCGCGAACCACCGGTTGGGAATCACTGTACTAAACTATAGTTTGGACACTTCCGATTGACCAGATTAGTTCTGTTTGTTTTATTATACCGGGAAAAAAATGCCAACCACTATATCTTTGATAGAAATTTTTGTACCTAAATTCTTTTCTTTGTTGAATTTGCTAATAAATTTACGAAAATGCAGTTTTCCAGTATTATAAATTTCTCTCCATTGTTTACTGCGTTTCTTTTGTAAAGATTCCATAGGACATTTATTGCAAAAAGTCAATAACGAGATAGAACGAACTGCTAATTAGTTTCATTTTTATAATAAGCCGATACCTTTTGTTTTCATTCTATTATTATTCTTTTTGTAAATGTTTTTAATGCTGTCGTATATACGTAATACAATGACATTTCATAAATATTAAAGATTTAACTGGTACAACAAAAGATATAAATTACTTATTCTGTTCAAACAAAAATAATGGGATTATTGCATTTTTGTTTTATTTCATAAAAATCGAACAATATGGAAACACTGCCAATAATGTCAGCTTCCATTGTTCACCAATAAAACACAAAGAAATGAAATTAATGAAAAATCCATAAAAAACGCTTATTAGCATATCTACATTCTTATTTTTTTTATTTTTGTATAAAAGTTTATAAAAATTAAAGCACATGCAAAATACGAAAATGAAAATCACTTGTTATCAATATTTTTCGTTGCTTGTGCTCTCTTGCAAACCGAAGCTGGTTTTTATAAAAAGAAAAATATCTCAGTTTTTATTGGTCTGTTTTTTTTAACAATTTAGAGGAAAACCGTGCATTTGTAATTCCCGAAGCGATTGCATTAAAATTCGTCATGTTATTTAATTTTGCAAGTAAGCACTTTTCTGCAATTATTTTGCGAGCCCCCTTTAAAAATAACGACATGCTTCTATGTTTCCTGTATTTTGTGAAAATTTATAATATTGGAAAACTACATTTTCTTAATTTTACTAACAATAAGAAGCAACAGACACTTATAGACCTGGAGAAGCAACGTAGAGAAGTAAATATTAGGAAGGGAGTCAGACAGGGATGAACACTGTCACCACTATTTTTTAAACTATATATTGAAGATGCGATCTACATCATTAAAGACAGTACAACTGTAGGGATGGATATACAGGGGCAAAAGATTACTATGCTTAGATTTGTAGATGATATAGAGGTGCTAGCGTCTAGCAAGGAGGAGTCAGAGATAGCTTTAAATAAAATGGAAGCGGTATTAGATTATTAGCTCATGATAGGAAGGAGTGGAGGTGCGTGTCCAACCAGTCTTAGGACTGACGACTTTATGATGATGTGACTTGCAACTATTCGAATAATAGATAATACAGACTAAAAGGTACCCAAATACGCAAAAATATCGTGGTTGGCAATTGTTTTTAAAACACCCTCCGAATTGACTCTTTTTCCTGGCTATATAAACGAACACCTGCCGTCCGAATGCGAAGTGTGGTTATCGCTTCGCTCATCTGTTTATTTCGTTTGTGTTCGTGATATTGCGGATGTTAGAAATATTATTGGTAGATATTTAGATATTTATATAAAACGATTTATCTTTGTAATACTTGGCAGAGCCAAGCAAATGGAAAAGCCAGGCGCTGGTGTACCTACATATATTATTTTTTTCTTACAAAACGACTTGGGGGTTTTATCATTTATTAATAATTTGTTAAGCCACTTCCGGCAGGATTTGCTCATCGTGGGTTGTCGTTTCATGGTTGCACACATTATTTCGATAAACTATCTACATACCTCAATCGATCGGAGTATTAAAACCATGACCCTTGCTATACTAACAATTACTTGAAACAGGTAATAACATGACATAGATATTGAAAATAAAGCTTACCTTTTTGAGATGTTTGTTGACCCATTTTGTGAATGTTTTCTTTTGAATGGCATCTCGTTCATCTAGAAGAAAAAAACGTTTGTAAGCATAAGTCTTAAATTTCAACAAGGTAAACTAATAATTAAGGCGATTCCAGCATTGTATTATATTTAAAAAATTAAACTAAAAGATATTTTGGAAATAGTAAATTAAGTTGTTACAAATACATGGAGTGTAATGGAGAACAATTTTGATTATCATATAAAGTACACAGTACACAATAGAAAAATAATAGAAATTAATTCATACTCCGAAAATTATCCCCACCACAAAAATGTTTCAAATTTCGAACTTTAATCTGCATATATTAAAATATATGGTATAAAGAAGTTTTTGGAAAAGTTAAATATTAAAGAGAAAAAATGGCAAGAGTTTTAATATATGCGCCGAGTTTTTCAGTAATTTGCAAAAACAAACCCGTTTTGTTTCTAATATAATTAGTTTGCAATTGTTTATGTGCTAATTTGAAATTTCATTTTTTTAGGCATCAATCCATCCGAACCAAATCAATCACCTCTCGATCGCTCGGTATCAAAAATTAACATCATTTTGAACTTGTAAAATAGACTACTACCTAGTTAAAACCAGATAAATGTTTATGTTTTCGATACGTTATGTTGGTTATTACACTTGATGACAAATATTATAACTATTAGAATAAGTCATAGTTATTATTTTGTAATTTGTAATATACATATCTGTATTTTATATGGAGTTAGTATGATTTTCTCAGAGCAGATTTTGTGTTTAAAAACTGAAATATCGTTTATGGTTGAATAAACATGTTAGGTACTTTTAATTTTTCATAATAGGGTTCATTTGTTTCAGGGGTATTTGTCCGAATATTATGTTAAAACTATGAATAACTTCTTTAAAGTAGAAAGCGACCTTGCATTAGTTGCAAAATATTTGAAAACAACCGCAACAAAAAAACTATACTCAACTTAGTTCATTCAATGTGACTTTCATTGTTTTGTTGTGATGTTTTATACTTTGACCCAGATAGTTACAGATAATTTACCTGCAAGGATTATTCATTTGTTTTATATTACAACACAAAACGTGCTCTTCAGTTGTCTATATTTAATTACGCAATAGTAATTTTGTTCTTTCCTTCAACAAGTGATGCGATAGATCAATGAATACGCTAAAAAAGTTTTTTAATAGAACAGGACCTCTTATCATTAGATAAAAAAAACTCCGCTTCGTTAACAATAATATGTGTTCAATTCTGTTTAATCAAAGCAATACTAGGGTTAAAAGTATTTTTTTTAAAATACCACAGCCAACGTTTCGTCCAGGTTGCTGGTCTTTTTCAAACAACCACTAACCAGCATTACTACAAACTTTTTGTGTAGATAAAACTCTAAAAACTAACTAACATAACAATTGTTTTAAAAACGTATTGTACGATTAAAATAGTAAATAAATAATTAAAAATCACGTGGTGACACTTATACACAAACACTTTTTTTTGTGTAAGCATATAAATAGTTTGTCCGTTATGGAAATCGAGTGTAGAAGATTTTTCCCGAGTATGTTTTAATTTTCCCTTAAAATAAGTTCCCAAAACGTACAATTGCAACATTACAACTAAAAAATATTTTTTTGTGTTGCAACTACAAATTTCCGGTTTCCGGATTTTTCTCTTTACTATAAACAAGCGACTCGCCTCGACCTCGCACGGGTGCAATGTAGACACTATTGTAGGGTAGTATGGAGTGCTTAATAATATTATGATTATGATTAGTCTATACTACAGGATATCTTCATATATATTATCGAAAAGGTATGAAATTAAGGAAATGAATACAATTCCGAGGCTATATAGGAAATGTATAAAATATTGAATAAAATAATTCGAAATGGTCTGTATTCTGTCAAAACTGATCACGCCGGGATTCGTTTCAACAAGTAGATATCCATATATTTAAATGGACCTTGTTGGAGCATACGTAATCCTAAAATGTAGCATCGTACTACAGAGAGCGTTTACCGCGCCATTTGTAGTATTTTCTTGCATAAAATATTGTTTCAAAGATTTTATAATGCACACATATCCTGGGAAATGTATATATTTCCTACGAATTGTATGAAATTCCGATATTGTACTAGGAAATGTATTCTTCATGTGCGCCGTATTTGTAAATTTGTGTATCGTACCTGCGTTCTGGGAAAGCAGTTACAGAGTTCAAAGAAAAAATAAACTATCCGGATGTTTCCAGAAGGTTTCCGAAAGTAAACAGAAGAGTATTCAAAGGAAGAGACGATCGCCGAGAAGAAGAAGAAATAAATTGACCGTTGCAGAAGTGAATCGGGAAATAAATTGACAGTGATAGCAGTGAAATAAATAGCGCAGTGAATAGTGATATATCAACAGTAGTGTAAATAAATAGAATAATTCATAACCTAAGTTTAGTAATAATTTAATAGTGTTTTTAAGTTCTTTAATAATTAATGTAAATAAATAGTTTCTGTCATTATCAGTCTTAGAAGTTAATTTTGTTAAACCCACGAACATTACAGTAAGTTGTACATACATACATGTATACAGGCCATATTATACAGAAACGTAACACCATTACAAATGGCATCAAGTAGTGTAATAAAATGAACATTTGTAAATGATAAATCGTAAAGGAATGTTATAAAGATAAAATGTATGTATGTATGTATCCTAATAAATGAATGTACTATGTAAAAAGAGACCATTTGTAGTAGTACTTGCGTGTTAAAATGCATTTCATGTAGACACATACATTAAATGATTACATCTCGAATAAAAAAAAAACTAAACCAGACGCAGGCTAATATTTCAGCACACATTGTGATTATTGAGTTCTTGTACTATATGCATAAGTGATGTGAGGTCAGCGCCATACGCGGTGTTCTTTGATAATTTTGCTATCAACAGCATAAAACAGCTACTTATTGAGTGTTTTTGACGACCCGATTAAAGCAGACATGGCTAGGTACGGTGTCTGGTTATGTTCATTCGGCCGACAGAATTTGAAATGCTAGAGTAATTAATTAACACTTTTTCTTATTGCGATGATCAAGTGCCTAACAGTAATAACTCATAAAAGTGTTAGATTTTATTTATATTTCATGTAATGTATACGTGCTGTGGGCTGCAGCACTACGAAAAAACTTTGATATTTATGTATTTTTGTGACCTAATTACTAAAATTTATTAACCGACGTTGATATGCTTGCGTAAAATTGACTTTTCTTGCTAGCTGTGTACTAACGTAAGTCCCCACCAAAGGAATTCTGTGGGTCTTTAGTCGATTTTTGGCGTAATCTCTAAATACTTGACAAAATCCTCAAGCTCCCTATCTACCATTAAAACCAGGATTACCATACCTTTTCCATTCGTTTCGCTGTATATCCGTGTTTTTGTACAAATATCGCATCATATTCGCTCATGTTGTGTTTTACCATCCCGCCTATCTTACTCTCACTTTATATCATTGATATGTTCTTCTACACAGTAATTATATATTCGATCTGATTATTAGATTGTACTATCATTCCTTCAAGCACCATCTATCTATTAAAATTCTTTTAATCATTACAATTTGCTCCTTAGAAAGCCCGATATTTTTACAGTAACTTTTCTGTATCGCACTTTTCAAACAGTATTTAAACTCTGAACTGCCTTCTTAGTTTGTCTTCATCTAACCCTGTCACTTGAAGAACCATTATGCCATACTTTCTTAGGAATTGAGATGTATCGTTAAACCTCTTGGCTCCATACGTATTGTACAACATCACATTGCTCCTCTCATCTTCCCCCGCTGACTATTCTCGCGAAAGGGTTGTCTGGTTGGCTCACTAGCCTGGACTCCTTTTTATTGAACTTCATGTCCCTTAGATTTAAATACGAGGGAGCGTATTTAAGTTCACGGAATAGGGGGTAAGAAGTGAAAATAAAAGTACGAATTTATTTTTCTTTTTCAATATATTCACCTGCTACCATTATATATTTTCCAATCTTTCAATTGCCTTACGTATACCTTCGAAAAAGAATGTTTTGTCTTTGTCTGAATACGTCAAAACTGCATTCTTCACTTCTTCGTCGCTTGAAAATGAAAAATATACCCATTCCGCGAACTTAAAAACGCACCCTCGTAAATTAACATTATCAGCTCTCTCCCTCGCAAAATTTCTGAATCGTTGAATCTCAATTTCCTTTTTTGTATGATCATCATCAAACCGCATATTAGCACCTTTCAGATCACATTTTAACTGACTTCAAAAAAAAAGGAGGTTCTCCATTCGATTGTACTATTTTACGCGATTTCTTTGAAAATTACCAACCGATTGTAATGATTTTTAATGGAAAGTTTCTACCTCAAAGATGGCTCCATTTAAATAGAAGAAAATATTTCAACTTCGTTATTTAGGTTACATCTTTTTAACTTTTTAATTTAGATTTGTCCATAAAAGCAAAGTCAGTTTTTATACGTTAATATCTTGCTCAATTCGAGATAAGTCACGTGTACCTTACAGAGCATTATCCTTGCTGGCTCTTTCTTGATTCTGAACATTTTCAGCAGCGTTTGGATTAGTTAAATTCTTTGTTTATCGGTTCCCTTGAATCAATACATATTATTCCAATAATTTTCCTTGTCTTTTTTTTTTCTTTAAGTCATAATTGCTAAATTTACTTATACATTTTTTCTGAGACATGTCCTCTCAAAGTCTTTGCGTTCCCTTCTTTGGAACCCTTTGGTTTCCTTTCTTTTGCTAAATTACTGCGCACCTTATTAAGCGTTAATTTAGTACCTCTTGCTTCATTATTTATCTTTCTCTACAACTTTTGTTTCACACATGTAAATCTTCTTTTATAATTCATTCTTTTCTCTCACCCACTTTTTATTTTTATAGTTTATCGCCTTCATCAAAATTTTTATTTTTTTCTCGATCCTTTTCACTCTATTTGTATTCCTGATTACTCTTCTCTTATGAAGTCTATCTCTTCTCTAATATCCTCATTCTGCCCAGCAATCGATATCCA